CAATGGCCATGGCTTCATTTCTTCGCAGAGGTGGAACAAAGGCCAGGCCAGATTTGCTGGAGCCCCTTGTTCTGCCCGTTCACATGTGTACTTCTGAGAGAGGCCCTGAGGATGACGACCCAGATCTCAGTGAGGAAGACAAAAAGGAGCCCACGAGTTCAGAATCAGGGAGAAGCTTGGGCTCTTCTTCCCATCAGCCCTGTGGGGCCCGGCCAGGTCCCTTTGAGCAGAGCTCTGTCCTCTGGGCGTGGGAGCCGTGAGGAGCCAATGTGACAGGGCAGCAAGGGCTGGCTGCCTCCCCGGCACAAGAGGCCCTGACGTCAGGCCACTCAACACTGCCCGTCTGCTGGCTGCCTTCCCGGCAGAAACTCACCTCCTGCACCCAAAGTCACTGTGAGAGTAGATGCAAACCAGATACTTCCTTCTCCTCATTAATCTTCATGGATCTCACAGGCCAAGCAAAACAAAATGCAGTTTTCTCTATAGTTGGGACGACTCCTTGGCCAGGTTACAAACTATTCAAGATGGGGAATTAAAGGCAGCAAAGTCACCCAACACAAAGGCCAACAGAAGGGAGCAGAGACACATACGTGTACATGTGTTGGGTGAGGTGCTGCAGATGAGAATGTTACAAAAGGAGAATTTATGCTATGAAAATTTGATTTCCTAGCCAGGCATGGTGGTGCACCACTGTAATCCCAATACTCAGGAGGCTGAGGCAGGAAGATTGCCACAAGTTTGAGGCCAGTCTGAACCACACAGCAAGACCCTGTCTCAAAAACACCAAACAAAAAACCAAACCAAACAAAAAGCAGTTGATTTTCCATGAAATTAAGAGGGAAAAATAAAAAAGGAAAAAAATAAGAAATAGCTTTAAAAGTTGCTAGTATAATTTCAGAACACAGAAAACTGGCTCAGCAATGTTGGCGAGTTTGCTTTCCAGAGGTGCCTCTTAACTGCACAGTGCTTCTCCGTGGTCGGGAGCCTCCCCTCCCACACACGTGTGCACACACACAAGCCTCGGCCTCACTGAGAGGATGCACCACCCCAAGAGCTCCCAGAGGCCCCCACCCCACTCAGTAAGAAGAGGAGGTTGTGAAACTCTGATGCAGACACCCAGCATCTGAGCAGCCTTCCCACAAGTGCACCTGAGCCCCAGGTGGAGAGGCTGGCAGGTAAGGTCAGACTCAGACTCTGGCTGACCACAAACCTCCAACAGACGGTGTCCAGAGTCTCCCTAGCCTGAGCCCTACAAACCCTGGCAAGCAGTCTTTAGGCCAGACTGTCCTTAAGTGGCAGGAAGGGTTGCTTCCTTTACATCCCAGACTCACCCAAGCAGTGGAAAGGGAGGCACCAGCAAGCTGAATGCTTTTCTCAACTGATCATCTTGGGAAAAGCCAGATATAAATTTCAGGGCTGGAATGCAAGGGGTGTGAAATGCTGAAGAAGCCTCAAAGAGGGCCAAGGACAGGCTCTCTGGGTGGCCTGGCAACAGCAAGTGGGGAAAAGCAGGTTACCCAAAGGGGCCTGCTTTTCTGTGAAGCAGGAAGCAGGCCCTCCAGAAAGAACAAAACTGCCTTGCACTGAGGTGGAGGTGGCCAGCGATGGATTTGTGTTTGTTTCTGAACATAGAGAAAACAAGGTCTTGGGTACAAAAGTAACTCTGGTATAACGAGCTTTCGTGATGTCAACATGCTCCAATAGTTACAAGAGTTCCACCAGTGAGGGTCCTTGCATCGCAGAGACAGTGTGTGTGTCTCATGGAGTCCCTGAGTACAAGGCAAGGAAGATCATACCTGCTTCAATGGATGACAGAATGTCCTAGTGTTGGACAAGTCACTTTTTAGCTTTTCTATATCTCAGCTTTCTCATCTGTAAAAGATACATGGGGGCCAGGGATTTAGCTCAGTGGTTCCACCACCTGCCTTGCAAGTTCAAGGTCCCGAGTTCGATCTCTAGTACGGAAAAAAAAAAAAAAAAAAAAAGATACATGAGCTGGGCATGGCGGTGCCCGGCTGTAACCTCAGCATTCTGGGAGACTGAGGCCAGAGGACTGCAAGCTTGAGTGCAGCCCGGGCAACTCAGTGAGATTCTGTCTCAAAAGTGAAAACAAGCTGGGGATGTGGGTCATTGTGAAGGCCCTGGGGTTGCGCGCGCACACACACACACACACACACGCACACACACACATGGAGAGAGACAGATTACTTCTAGAGAGGCTCAAGGGTGAATTAATGCTGGTATAAGGTTCTGGAAACATTACCTGGCACAGGATAAGCTTATGGAAATGCTGGTGGCTACAGAGGAGTGGCATGTATTAGCCCAAGTAGGCCAGAGCCCAGCTGCTGGTGCCCAAGGCCGGTCAGCTGTTCTGAGCCTCTGACCCTCTCAGAAGCCTCCTCAGACCATACACAGACCTGCGAAGACCCAGGCAGCACAGCTCCCAGCCCAGAAATCCTAAGGGGAAATCAGACACACAGACAAAATAAGGCCCACGACAGCTGCTTCCTGCTGGGAGAGGAGCAAACGCTACCAGCACATTTGGGTCGGCGTTCTCAGGCACCATTCACGTGGTGTGTGAAACCGGGTCAGGCCCCAGAGTGGGCAGCACAGATACTGCAATTGTGCTTGCTAATCTGAACTGAGGCTGTCAGCATCGATCCTGTGACCACAGGGAGCTGGAGTCTGAGAAACCTGAGGGTTGCTGAAGAATGGACTCGGCAAAGCAGGACAAGGAACCACTGCTCATCCACTGCTAACAGATCGGTGATGAGCACCAAGAACCTCAGAGGCCGTGTCCTGACTCCCTCCAGCATCTTAAGACCTGCCGGTGGGGGAGAGGACCTGGAGGACTGCCCTCTGATCCATTCCACCTTTGCTTTCCCCCTGGTACTGGGGATTTAATCTAGGTCCTTTGCCCAGGGCTACACACCCAGCCCTGTATGTATGTGTGTATTTATTTACTGTTTGGTACCAGGGATCAAACTCAAGACCTTGCTCTTGCCAGGCAGGCACTGCGCTGCTGAGCTAAAACCCCCAGCCCTGTTTTTATTTTTTATTTTGAGACAAGGTCTCTGTAAGTTGCTCCAGCTGGGTTTAAACTTTTGATCCTCCTGCCTCAGCCATCCAGAGTGCTAGGATTATAGGGATGCGGAACCACACTCAGCAGCCTTCCATTTCTGTATCTCAAGACACCTGAGGCAAAGGGCTGTAGGCTTCAGTCTCTCTGCCTTGTGTACAGTCTCTGCCCTACTGCCTGTTAGGAGGCATCTCTGGGAACAAAGAGCCTGTGCCCCATGTGGGGTCTAGCTGTGCAGCAGCTGAAGTATGCCCAAGTCAGAGAGAGAGAGAGGGATGGAAAGCAGACAGACAGATAATCAATCTCAGGCTGTTTCTGACAGACAAGTGGGGCAAGGCAGGTGCATTTCTGCAGGAGGCCCTGCCCTCTGCCCAGACATGCTGGCCTTCCAGAGGCAGGAGACCACCTGGACTGCAACTGTCTCCACAACGTAGGCACCAGCGTGAAACTTCAAGCCTACTAGTTCTTTTGGCCTCCTACCAGAGCCAAGGAAGCCCTGAGTGAGAAGCCAAGCTCAGGGCCCAGGAAGGAGTGGATCCCTAGGACACAGTCCAGACTTCAGCAGGAGAGATTCCCAACATCCTATGACCCGGCATGGCCATCTGACGCTGCCAGCAAAATCCCAGTGGCTCAAGCCAGCCACCTCAGGGCTGCTCGCTGGACAGGCTGCTGGGCACACCTGGAAGCTGCTCTGGGGCAGTGCCATGGTAGTGGGGGCCTCTCCAGGCTTCTGCATGGCGGGTGAGCCACACAGAGCACCTCTCCCTACCCCACAACCTGCTCTTGGGTTGCGGCCTCAAGCTCAGCCAGCCAGGCCTCCCCATTCCAGCTCCTGCAGCAGCTTTTCCTGTGTGTTGCACTTCTGGGACACATCTCATGGTCCTCCTCCTCCCAGACACCCTTCTGAGCTACTCAAGATCATGCTGCCTTTCCTGTACCGTGCTGCACCAGTGCCACTTCTGGGGACCATGAGCAGCAACTGGAGCTGGACTACAAAGCAGCAGGCATCCCAGCAAGCATTCGTGCGCCCTGAAAGAACAAGCCTGTGCATCCCAAATGGCCCCTGGGTCTTGAGCTTGCCACATAGCAAGTGTGCACTAAAGACTTCTTAGAAGACGGGTAGATCACCTCGTCTTACAGGAGCAGCTGACCTTCCTCTTAGCCCAAGGCACAGCCATTTCACTCCTTGCAGGCAAGGTTCCTGCTCCGAGCTCCCAGCTCCCAGGCATTCCTCGCCACCAGCTATTCCCTAGAGCTGCCCTGGCTGGGACTAAGGGCAGGAGGGGGTGCCCAGCTCCATCCCTGTCCACAACGTACTCCCCATCGTAGGAAGAGAGGCTGGCAGGAAGTGCATCTGACCTCTGGGGTGGCCACAGCTTCTTCCAAGGGCTAAAAGGGCTCCTAGACAGACAGCAAAGGCCTGGGAAGGACTTTTCTTCCCTTCCCCGGGCGCCAGGGAAGGCAGGCAGGAAGAAGGGTCTCAGCAGCAGGCGACCAGTATGGGGGTGGCCAGACAGGGAGGTGCCTGGGGTTGCAACTATCAGCCGGAGACCAGGCTCCAGGAAGGAAGGAAGGGCAACTCTGGCTGAGGGTTAGATAAGAAGGGAACCTGCTCAGCACAATGGGTCCCACAGGGATGGGAGGCCCCAGGGCAGATTTTGCCCCAGCTTGGCCTCCTGTCTGTTCACACAGCCCATGTAAATATTTGCTGCTGTTTATGTTCCTGCTCCACTGGGTCCCCTTTGAGGCCCTTTCCTAAGACCCACAGATCTTTGGGCTCCCAACCATGTCTGCCTTTAAACTGAGAGACCCCAGTTCACTCAGAAAGGGCCACCGGCATTGTTTCTTCATGCAATTCACAGGAACAGTTCCTCAGGACAAAACTGTGCTCTCGTCCTAGCCCTGGGACACAGGAACTTACGGGGTCCGGTCATGGGTGAGGCCATTCTGCCGCTGAGCGTTGATTGGTGGAAGAACAGGTTTGCTGTTGATCTCAAGTCCTCTCCTCAGGGTCTCCCGGATCTGCTCTGTGTCTGCAATGACATCACTGAGCTGCCCGATGGCCCCATGGGCTCCCAGCCACCCTGCCCTTTCTTGAACCTAGCTCAGCATGCCTGGGGAGAGGTCACCATGCTGTCCAGGCACCCAGACGGGACAGCGGAATGAGCGCAGCCTGTGGGAAGCCGCTGTGGGTCTGAGGAGCACCAATCTTGCAGGAGACAGGCGCCGGCCCCTGGCCTCAGAAGGGCACTCGCCATTGTGCTTTTCCTTCCTGACACATAGGCCTCATCCCAGACGGCGAATGACTACCAAGGCCTTTGCCACTACCCAGACCTCCAAGGATTCTGCCCACTGAATGGATGCTGGCAAGGGCGTCACCTGCCTTGCCACAAATGGGTTCTGGGGACAACTCGTGTCTGGTCCTGCTGCCCCTCCCGGCCTGGCCCGGTGGGCTACCTGGATCATCTCTCTGCCTTGCTCTGCACCAGGAACCCCATCTCCACGGAAATGGCAAGGACATGGGGTCAGACAGCAGCCCCTTGATGTGACTGTTTCTCTGCAAGGTGTCCTAATGGCCTTGGGAATGAAGCTTACCAGTCTCCTTCCCTATCTGAAGAATCTGATCTAAGATTTACCTCTGCATACTGTAAACACATATGAAGAGGAAATGAACTCTAGTTATTCAGAGGGTGGGCTGAGAGTGGGAAGACAGGATTACTAACTTTTCAGACTGACTTGTTACCATGGCATGGATTACCATTATGATTTTTATTTTTTAATTTAAAAAAATTTCCCTTGGTACTGGGGATTGAACCTAGGCCTTAGCACTGGGTTACATCCCACCCCATTTTAATTTTTGTGACAGGGTCTTACTAAGTCACTATGTCTCCACAGCTTTTTTTTTTTCTAATTTTTTTTTTTTTTTTCCGGGGATTGAACACTGGTCCTTGAGCTTGCAAAGCAGGCAGTGAAACCACTGAGCTAAACCCCTGGCCTTCACTAAGTCACTATGTAGCCCAGGCTGGACTCAGGTTTATAATTTTCCTGCCTCAGCCTCCCAGAGTACTGGGATTATGGGCATGTGCCACCATGCCCAGTTGTAATTTTAAAAAATAGCCAATAATGATTAAAATTGTGGATGAGTCTATGAATCACTTTTTAAATTGCCCCTTCTGTCAAAAGTAACTAAATGATTTTTTGGGGGGGCAGTGCTGGAATCAAACCCAGGACCTCACACAGGCCAGACAAGTGCTCTACCACTGAGCTACACAGTGATGATTTTAATAGCTGTGTGACTATAATAACTGTATGACTTCTCTCTGAATGTCCAGCAACCTTGGTACACTGTCAGAACAATCCCAGCACCTGGGAGGCTAAGGCAGGAGGACTACAGTCGGTTCAAGGCCAGTCTTGGCTACATAGTTCAAGGCCAGCTTGAACTACAAAGCAAGATCTTGTCTCAAAAAACAAAACAAAACAAAACAAAACAAACCCCAAAAGCAGGAATGAAAGGAATGTGTCAAATATTTGTACTAGAGGTTTACATTGTCATTTTCAAACAGAGAAAATCTTTTACAAATCTTCCCACACCTAAAAGTGCAACCAGTAGAATGCATGTTCAGCATGCACAAGGCCCTGGGTTCCAACTCCAACACCAAAAAAGGAGGGAAGGAGAGAGAGAAAGAGAGAGAGGAAAAAAATAAATATATGCATAGATATTTCATCCAAGGTGGTAGGCATCTTGTTCTTCAATAAATAAAAGATGGAAGAATTGGGAAAGGAAGTAGACAAATGACCTGCGACCGTACGTACACGTACATGGGTGTTCTTCTTTTGGAGCTAGCAAAGGACATCCTTTGCTAAACACCACAAAGACTGAGACCAGGCATGGGAGCTGCCAACGGGTCAGCCACATCCTCCCACCCTCAACCTCACCTGGAAGGCAGAGGATGTGGGGTGCTATACTGCATCTGCAGCAGTGGGCATGTGCCATTTGCAAGCTGGCTTCATACTCAGACTTCCCTCACTGAAGCCCTGGAAGGGCCTAAGGGCAGAGATCTTAGGATCTGGCATGGCCTTTGGGCCAGAGCTGGGCCCTGTGTCAGTTCTGTGGATGGCTGACATTTTTCTCTTGCTCTTGAGTAGACGGTGGACTTTTTCTGCTAACTGTTCTACGGTTTCCATTTACCTCCACAACCTGAGATTGAAGGGAAAAGTGGAAACACAATGGTCTCTCCTGGTGATGCATTTGAAATATACACAGGAAACAGAACTAGGAAAGGGCCAATAAAGCTCCTTGAATTCCTCCTTGCTTCAAGAGTTCAGCTTCTGCTTCAGTCAGGCCAGGAAACAAACCACTGAGAGGGCTGTTAGACAGGCTCTCTAGGGTGAGCCTGAAAACCAGCCTGAAAGGAAGAGGGAAGGCAGGTACTGCTGCTACCTTTGCCGGAGAGCCGCCGGGGTTGCGTGCCGATGCAGATGCTCCGGCTGTCCTCATCATCCTCGGGGGGGCGGCTCAGGTCGTCCCAGGCACACTTAGCACTGACACCACTTAGGTTGGAGCCATCAGTCTCGATGCCTTTGTCAACTCTTTCCTGCTTGAAAAGAACCAAGCAGTCAGAGTTCCTTCAGAGAACTGGTGGCCCAAGGTTACCACCCTCAGCATGTACCGCGCCTGTCCTGCTCTGGTTATGTGCAGGATGGGTCCTGCCAGCTACTGGACTTCTCCAGAGAGCCAGGACTGGGGAAAGCTTCTCTGCCATTAACCTTCCAGCACAGTGACCTTTATGACTTTCCAAACCCCCACCCTGCCTAGGGAGCTGAGAGACCAATGACAGGACCTGGTTCCTTGAGGAAAGGCACAGTCTTTCCTGTCCTCCTGATCCTGCAATGACACCCACATCCACACACACCCACGCCGCTGCTACCAGAGGCAGGCTGGAACCAGCCAAGGGTAAGGAGATCCACAGGTGCAGTTGCCTCTTCTAACAGCTAGAGGGCGAGATCACCCCAGAGCAGAGGGCTGCCCTGCCCCTAGTCGCAAGCTAACAGGTTTGCCAAAGGGTTCTGGATTCGGGTGCTTTTCACTTCTTAGGCCCACGTGGGCCTGAAGGACAGTGACCATCTGCAGACCTCCCACCCCCAAACCCTGTCTTTGTGCAGGCCTTGGGACTGTGGAGTCCAAACCTCTCCAAAGAGCCTCAAGGAAGAGTTGTACTCAAAACATTCCTGGGTTTTCTAGCAAAACCCAGTTCTGTAGTGCTGGGCTCTGGATCAAAGGTCATCTAGAAGGCTCTAGTAACCTTGCCTGTAAACAGCCACGTGGCCAAATAAGCCTCCTGTGACAGTCTGCACTTCCCCGTCTTCCAGCCCCGCTCGGGGACTCCAAGGCACCAAGCTGGCCTGCTGTCAGCCAGAGAGCCCATCTGGGGAGGCCCAGGCACTGTCCTTATTTCTTTGGACCAGTCACAGTGGCTCCTCCCCATACCAGTCTTTCCTCCCTTCTGGTGCTACCATCAGCCCAGGCAAAGCTGGGGGTTCTGAGACAGAATGCAAGCTCGGTTTGTTCAGGGGAGAGTCGGAGTTTCTCCCTCTCCACTGGCTGCCCTGAAGCCCCCACCTAGGCAAAGAACTGATGACAGATATTTCTTGGCTTTACTAGTCCAGCTCACTTACTTTATAAGTAAAAAGAAAGAGTTCAGACACAGAGAAGTTAGGGACTTGTTCAGGCACACAGCTGGTTAGTAGTAGAGCTTAAAGTGATTTTTTGTTTGTTTTTGTTTTGAGACAGGGTCTTACTGTATGGTCCAGGCTGGCCTTGAACTCACTATGTAGCCCAGGCTGGCCTTGAACTCATTGTGAGCCTCCTGTATCAGCCTCCCAAGTGCTGGGATTACAGGTGTGCACCACCATGCCTGGCCTGGTAGTAGAGCTTAGATCGAAGAAACATGAGACAGCTCTCAAATGAACTCATGGCAAGCAGACCCCAGAAAGACCCAAACAAACACAGAGGAGTTCAAACTTGGTGCACTAGGGCCATTAGAAGAGAGAGCTGGATTTTTTCCCATGGTTTGCTAGTCCTGCTGGCTGGTCTAAGGGAGCCTGCAGACTTGAGAAGAGAACTGTTCTTGGTATGCAGAAAAGGGTGGTTTGCCTACCCTACCAGTTCAAGGGACTAAGTTTGTTCTGAGCACTTTGCATTTATGACAGCAGCCAAACAGCAGCCCACAGTGCTTCATGCCAGACCCCAGCATGGCTGCAGAACAAGGGCTTAGGGAAACACTGCCTTCATGGGTCCTGGTTCAGGCTTAAGCAGAGGATACACAGACATTAAGTTTAAGGTAGAGACAACAGAGGAACTTGGCAGCAATTTGAAAATTTCAGTGTTAGAGGCACTAGGAAAACAGAGGAGCATCATCTGTGAATTAAAAGGATTCATGCCCAAGAACTCACAGGCCTGCCGTAAAGAACCCAGGAAGAGCAGGCTGGATATTCATCTGCCACCTCTCCCCTCTTTAGAACATGAAAGTTCTGGCAGCAGCCTTCGATCTGTCAGAGCTTTACAGAAGCATGAAAAGTTCAGAGATGGCAGTGACCTGCAGCTTCTGGTGGGGTTGTTTGAAGGAGCCAGCAGCCTATTGCTCCTATTCCTGGTAGCCCACAGGACAGGCAGTGGTGCTCTTAGGGTTTTCAAAATCACCTGCGTGTCAAAGGAGCACTTCCTCTAAAACACTAAAGCCGACACTGACACTGTGTGCAGGTGGGCCACAGCGAGGAACAGTGGCAGGCCTGGTGTCTGAGGACCTCTTCACACATCAAGGAGTGCCAACCTCCCCAGGCCAGGGTGGAAAACGAATGTGTCAGGAGGGGTGACGGCACCTTGCAGCTAGGCCACTGGGCCAGTATCACTGTACAGGCAGTAGCTCTTTGAAAGTCTGTGCTCTCAAGAAGGGAAATTGGGGGAATGAATCCTGGGCTGGAAAGCATCATCCACTATGCTTACTGTCTTTTGCTGTTGATGGTCTAATTTTTATTTTATTTATTTATTTATTTAGGTACCAGGGATCGAACTTGGGAGCTTGCGCTTGCGAGGCAGGTGCCGGAACCACTGAGCTAAATCCCCAGCCCAATGGTCTAATTTTTAAAGTTGATATATAATTTAAATACAATAAAATTCATCTTTTTAAATGAAAACACACATGAGACTGAGACATGCTTTCTGGGGCTGAAATCCCTGCTCCCTTACGTGCCCTGCAGCGCTCCGGGGAAAAGTTCCAAGTCCTGCTGCCCTTCTGCGCACCCCCACACAGATTTGCACCTTTCCCCCAGGAGGAAAGCCAGCCTAGGCACAGTGGCGAGCATGGTCTCCTCACTCAGACATACTTGCAGGTGTGGATCAATCTCAAATATGGTCTCTCCTCTCCGCATGTCCGTTATGAGCCAGGGGCCACCGGCACTGTGGGTGGGAAAGGGGAACGATGGTGATGAGGGTCTGCGGTGGGGCTGCCAGCCTCCCTGAGACCTGGGCAGCCCGGCCCCACGTGGCTCATGGGCACACTCACATGGGCACTGTTCGCAGCAGCTCCAGGATCCCCTGCCCGTTCCACTGCTGGGCTGAGTGCAGCTCCTCGGTACAGACGCCAACAATCTGCAGCCCGGGATGAGATTCCACTGAGTGTTACTGGCCACCCCCAGCCCGCCAGGTCAGCCACCCAGATTCACCCACAGGCATCTCTGTGCCACGGCACTGGTGTTTCAAGTGGGAGGGCTCCCGGCAAGGAGACAGCCGGGCCCTAGACCGCTGAGGCCTCACTCACCTGGAGCTGGCTTCCCTGGGGAAGTCCCGGGCCTGCAGCCCACCGGGCCTTTAGGTCTGAAATTCCCTCCCCGTCAGCCCCTCAAAGCCACAGCCCTTCTCTCCACCCCACTGGCCACCTCCTACCCGCGACCGTCTGGATCACCTGACGACCACCAGAGGCTGGAGAAGACCAGCAGGAGCTCCGCTCCCCCACTGCCCTCCTGCTGTGCCTGCACCTCACCTGGAGGAAGGTGACCACTCCGAAGGGCGTCTGCACGGGCTGCAGCTGCGGGTCCTCTGTCAGCAGCATGTGCTGGATCCTGGACTCACTGTTATCCAGAGGGCTGTGCCAGGACACGTGGTCCCCACTGCAGAAGGTGTTCTCTGTGGAAAGACAGGAGGACCCTCGGCATCTGGAGCCTCAGGAGCCTGGACTGGGAGGTGCCCCAGCTCCCGGGGTTGCCCCTGTGGAAGGAAAAAGTGCTCTCCAGATGGAAGCAAGGAGCTGTGGGCACTGCCCACACTGGACAGCCCGCTCGGTTGGGCTGCAGTGGTGAAGGGTTCCCAGAGGCTCCCCAGAGCCCACTCAAGGGGGAGGCTTCGGGACCCAGAGTCTGCACAGTGCCTCACGCACTTCGGTGAGTGTGCAGTAGGAGGACAGCAGGCTCCCCTAGGGCACAGCCACCTCAGTCTCTCCACTGCGCTCCACACGCACACAGGACTTTACTGGCTATGGCAGCATAACTGGAGGGGAGACCCACGCAGTATTAAGTGTCCAGGCACTTGCATTTACCAGCCCACAAGCACCCATAGCTTCCCTTCCACTTTTTTCTTCTAAAACAAATGAAAGTACGTTATTTTGCATACTGCACCTAATTATATATCTTAGAGCTCACTTCATCAGTGTACAAGAGCTACTTCACTCCTTAAATGGCTGTACCATAGTTCATTATGGTCTAGCACTTACAATTTGAGAATCTAAACAGCTGAGATCTCTTTTTACTAACATTTACAGACACACACACACACACACACAACCTAGCCTGAACACCAATCCTCTGCTATGTCGGGTGATGTTATACAACCATCTCCCATCCTAGGCAGGTCAGGTTGCTGTCCTGACCTCATCAGCAACACAGCACAGCGAAGGGGAAAGGAGAGGGTGCAGCTCCAGGCCACAAGAAGCCCCGCCTTTCCTGACCCCTGCTGCCCACACTTCCCAGACTCCTGCTTTAGAGAGATGTGGGTCTGGAGGTGCCTTTCAAGCTCCATGAGTGAGAAACAATGCAACAGGTAAAAGGACTGAATTAATAATTAAAAATGATCTCCAAAACGCACACACACAGAGTAACAGAGTACAAGTCCAGATGACTTCACTGGTAAATTCTACCAAACATCTGGAGAATGATTAATATCAATCTTCACAAAACCTTCTAAAAAATAAAAGAGTAAGCTGGACATAGTGGTGCACATTTGTAATCCCAGCACTTGGGAACCTGAGGCAGGAGGATCACTGTGAATTCAAGGCCAGCCTGGGCTACATAGTGAGTTCAAGGCCAGCCTGGAATACACAGCAAGACCCTGTCTCAAAAAACTAAAAGTAAAATAAAACAAAAAATAAAAGAGAAAAATATTTCCCCACTCATTCTATGAAGCCTATATTATTCTGATACCAAAAACCAAAGAATTCTAAAAGTAAAATTAAAAAAACAAAACCACAGACTAATATTCTTTATGCATGTAGACACAAAAGTCTTCAGTAAAATATAGCAAGCTGAACTCAGCAAATTATAAAAAGGGGTATATACAATGACCAAGGGGTAAAAATGATCAAGATGTGATAAGTATATGTAACAATTCCCCAAGATGATTATGTATCACAAACACATACTAATAAAAAAAAGCATCATTAAACAAACAAAAACAAGGACTATGTGGGATTCAACCCAGAAAAGTAGGGTTGGTTTAACATAAGAAAATCGAGCCAGGTGTGGTGGCACATGCCTGATAATCTCAGCACTTGGGAGGCTGAGGTAGGAGTGTGACTTCAAAGCCAGCCCAAGCTATACAGTGAGTTCAAGGCCAGCCTGAACTACATAGTGAGACCCTGTCTCAAAAAAAGAAAGAAAGAAAGAAAGAAAGAAAGAAAGAAAGAAAGAAAGAAAGAAAGAAAGAAAGAAAGAAAATCAAGCTGCAGGGTAGGATGGCACATCCTTGCAATCCTAGCACTTGGAAGGCTGCGGCAGGAGGATTGCTTTGAGTTCAAGGCCAGCCTGAACCACACAGCAAGACCCTGTCTCAGAAAACAAAAACAAACAAACAAAAAAATCAAGCTGGGGATGGTGGTACAGGCCTAAATCCCAGTACTTTGTGCAGGAGGATTACAAGTTTGAGCCCAAACTGGGCAACTTGAAAACTTAGTGAGAAGTGAGACCCTGTCTCAAAATGAAAAATTTTAAAAGGGAGGGGAATGGATGTAGCTCAGTGTGAAGGTACAATCCCAAGCACTGAAAAATATTTATTTTTCAATATATCAATAGAATAAAGGTTTTAAAAATACACATAATCATCTCAACAGACATAGAAAAGGTATCTGACAAACTGTAACACCTTTTAATGATAAAAACACTCAAATTAGGGTTAGACGGAACTTTCTCAGGCGGGTACAGGGCATCCACAAACACTCCACAGCTTGCATCACCACTGGTGAATGACTGAGTTACTCCCTCTGAGCAGGCACAAGGCAGAAGGCCACTCTCACTTCTCTGTTCAACACTGCATCAGGGTTTAGCCAGGAGAATTAGAGAAGAAAAAGGAATGCAAGACATCCAGACTGGAAAGGATGAGCTAAAACTGCATCTATTCATTATAATCTTGTACAGACAAAACTTTAAATAATACAATGCAAATTATTAGAACCAATAAACAAGGTTAGAATGGTTTCAGGGTACAAGAGCAATATGCAAAAATCACTTATCTTTCTATATACTAGCAATTAACACTCTGATAGTGAAATTAAGAAAATTTCTTCATAACATCATCAAAAGAATACAATATTTATGAATAAGCTTAACAAAATATATGAAAAAAACATGTACTCTGGAAACTACAAAACACTGTTGAAAAAACTTAGAGAAGATCTTCATAAATGGAAAGACATCCAATGTTCATACATTGGAAGACTTCATATTCTTATGCTAGTAGGATAGCAAATTGATGTACAGATTCAACACAATCCCATAAAAATGTCAGATGCCTTTTGGGCAGAAATTCATAAAGTGGCTAGGCATGGTGGCACACGCCTAATACAGCACTTGGGAGACTGAGGCAGGAGGATCGTCGTGAGTTCAAGGCTAGCTTGGGCTACATAGTAAGTCAAGGCCAGCTTGAACTACATAGCAAAGTGCAGTGCTAGAATCAAACCCAGGGCCTTACACATGCCAGGCAAGGGCTCACAATGAGACACACTCCCAGCTCAATCTTCTCAATTTTAACATTCGCTACAGGGGTACAGTAATCAAGTCAGTGTGTCACTGGCACAGGAGAAACATCTATCGGATCAACGTGACTGAATCCAAGTCCAAAAATAAGACTCAACACTTATGGCCATTAATTTTTGACAAAGGTGCCAAGACACTGTAATAAAGGAAAAACGATAGTCTATTCAGCAAACAGTGCTGGGATGGGACAGCCACATGCACAGCACTCAGGCTGGATTCCTTTTTAATAAGATAAACAAAAACTAACTCACTGGAATAGCTAAAACTAGAAAACCCGTAGAGAAAAACAGAAGTTAATCATCTGTCTTGGGTTAAGCAACAGTCTTAGATTTAATACCAAGGCATGTGCAGTAAAGGACAGATAAATTGTATTTCATCAAAATTAAAACATATTGTGTTATAAACAATACCAAAGAAATGCAAATCAAAACTACTACTACTTTACACTCATTACAATGGCAATTATAAACATAAAAATGAGTCCAGAAAGTACAAACATGGTAAGAATGTGGAGCAATTGGAACCCTTGTGTGTTGCTGGTGATAATGTAAAGTGGTACAGCTGCTATAAAAATGGCACTTCCTCAAAAATTTTAAAAATCACCACATGATCTAGAAATTCCAATTCTGGGTATAAGCTCCCAAAAAACGTAAAAGCAGGGACTTGAACAGGTATTTGCACACCAATGTTCATAGCAGCTCTACTCACAAGAGCCATTCAGTGGGACTGGAGTGAGTTTAGTCAGTGGTACAGCACTTGCTGAGCATACACGAGGCCCTGGGTTTGATCCCCACCACACACACACACACACACACACACACACACACACACACACACAGTCAAAAGTGAAAGCAACCTCAATGTCCACTGGCAAATAAATGGCTCAGTGCAGCTGCCTCGCAAGCACAAGGTCCTGAGTTCAATCCCCAGTACTGAAAAAAAAAAAGGACATCCTGTCTCATGCTACAACGTGGATGAATCTTGCAGACATTGTGCTAAAAGTAAAAACAAGCCAGCCACAAAAGAATAAATACCGCACCATTATACTCACATTCGTATTCAGACTCAGAGACAGACATCAGATCGGCAGTAGTTGCCAGAGGCTCAGCTGAGAAGTGATGGGGAGCAACTGTTCGAGGGCAGTTTCAGTATGAGAAGATGAAGACAGTGCTGGAGACAGGCAGTGGTGCTGGGTGCACAACAGGAGAACCTACCTAATACCACCGGACATTACACTTCAAAGGGCTTACAATGGCAAATTTCGTGTTATGTGTATTTAAAAACATTTTTTTTTTTTGGTACCAGGGATAGAACTCGGAACCTTGCGCTTGCGCGGCAGGTGCGGTGCCCCTGAGCTAAGTCCCCAGCCCATTAAACACATTTTTAAAAACAACCCACAGGATGGGAGAAAATATTTTCAAATAATATGTCTGTTAAACATCCATAATATATAAAGTACCCTGTATTCAGAATATATAAAGAGCTCTTACAACTCAGTAATAAAAGATAAATAACTACAGTGAAAACAAGCTGGAGCTGGGGATTTAGCTCAATGGCACCGCACCTTCCTTGAAAGCACAAGGTCCTGAGTTTGATCCCCAGTACAAAAAAAGGAAGAGAGAAAATGGGCAAAGAATTGGAATAGCTATCTCTCCAAAGAATATATATACAAATAGCCAATAAGCACACAAAAAGATGCTCAGCAGGATTAGAAATTAGGGAAATGCAAATCAAAACCACACAGAGGGGCCGAGGATTTAGCTCAGTGGTTCCGGCACCTGCCTTGCAAGGGCAAGGTCCCGAGTTGGGAGATGCAACACACGGAGATGCAACAACCACTCCATACCCGTTAAAGGGTTGTAACTGGGGCCCTGCCGAGCAGGA